GTCAAGCTAGTTCTCCAGGGGAAGGGGGTTGTTGGGGAACACGGCCCGATGTTGAACGAAGTGACTGGCCGTGAAGGCGTGATGGAACGGCGGCTGTGATGGAACGGGCCCCATTAGCTCTTGTGGCGCGCTCGCCGCCTCGCTCGCTCATCCACTCCCGTTCGTTCGATTGTTCTATTCGCCGACTTTGTTCCTCAGCACCCACGAGGAGAGCTCATCCCTGTCAGCCCCCGCTGCTCGGGTGAGTGCGCTTCGAGTGCGGTGGGACTCCTCGAGTCGTGTGTACTTTTTCCGGCTCCCTGGGCTGACGGGGCCGCCGCCGGCGCGGCGCCCGGCTCCGCCCCACTGGCGACCTTGTCGCTTCGGAATACATATCGCGCTTCCCTGATGCGGCCGTCCCAGTCGTCCGGGTGGCCGTGCCTTGACGTGTGCCGCCCCCGCTCGCGCTGATGTGAGCCCCCACTCCCCTACCCCCCTCCCCTCGGGGCACTTCCTTCCTCCCCGGGCCGGACCAGCTCATCCCGAATGCAGGCCAGCAGCACGAGAGCTGAGCTGGCCTCTGGGCTGCCCCAATTTCGCGGGGAGCGCGGTGCTCTGGTCCGGCGCGGCCGGTGCGGCGGCGGCGCGGCGGGGGGAAGGGGCGGCTCCGGGTGGCTCCGGTCTGCTGGGCGCCACGACCGCCGCGCCAAGGTCGGCCCGGAGCTCCCCTCACTCACTCTGGGCTGGGCGCTGACCTCTATTGTGTGCGGGGTGCAGGTGTGTGCCCGCCGCAGTGCCGCAGCTGGTGTCCCTACGGGGTGTGCCGCCCCCGCCCGGGCCCCGGCCCCCTCGCGCCCACCAGCCGGCCGGCCTCAACTTGCGCCATTACCCCCGAGGCGAGGGCGTAAGTCAAACTTTTCTGATGATGAGTCTGCTCCCCGCAACTCTGGAGAGCTCGGCGGCCGGCCACGGCCACGGCCCGGCGAGGTGGGGCGAATGGGCTCTGCTGCGCAGCTCTGCGCGCCCGTGAAATAGCATCTGGAAATCCAGTCGAGCGCCTCCGGGCCGGGCACCGCCCCCAGCTCCCCCTCAATCCCTCCTGCACAGACCTACCTAGAATTCCAGGAAAGCCGCGATATTTTGCTTTTAAAAGTTTGCCCACGCCGCGGACCGCTAAACCCCGTGAAGCCCCGCCCCGCGACTAGTTTGTCCAGCGGTCCGCGGTACGAGAAACAAACACCAGAAACCCAAGTGTGTGAACGTCGCACACTTGTAGGTGTGTGTGGTGGATGACATTCGTACACATGGAAGCACAAGTGTGTGAATTATAGAGGGAAATTTCCTTCACCCCTTCACTCCTTTCAAAGTACGAATGAGCATTCACACACCTACAGGTGTGCGACATTCACACACTTGCGTTTCGAGTGCGGCGGTGGGCTGGGCCCGGGCCCCGGCTTAAGAGCGTAGCCCCGGCCGGCCCCGCAGTTGGGGGGCGCCCGCCACCGTCCTGCCGGGCCGCTCCGCTCGGCGCGCGCGCCCGCTGGGCTGCCTACCCGCCCGGCGGTGGGCGCTCGGTCGCGCTGAGCGCTGCTCGGGAGGAGGAGAGACAAGGGCTGCGGCTGCGCGGGTGGATTATGTACACGCGGCATAATCCGACAGGGATGAAGTGGAAAACCCCTGGTGTGTGTGTGTGTTTGTGGGAGGGGATGACTGCTTCAAGTTGTGGCACCACAACAGCAGCTCCCATATCTCCGACCACGCCAGGCGCGCGCCCCACCTGCAAAATTCCGACCGCGTTCAGACCTTTAGCTACACTCGTTTCGGACGGATTTTTTTTTTGTGCCCGGCGGGAAATAGTGTTTCCTAAACGGCCATTGTTATATCGGCATTTATAGCATTCCATTCACATTCGCATTTCAGTAACCGCAAAAATGTCTGGCGGTCAATTTTTATTCGTGCCCGCGATCGCTTTCCGCCACAGCTCGGGTGTCGTGTCGTTTGCTAATTCCGTTCTCGTGGGGTGATCGATTAATCAACGAGATGGGTATCTCCTGTTCCGATCGGGCTTCACATTACCGGACGGGCATTTAATTTGTCATACCGCGCGAGTGGCTTTTCGTGTCATAATGTTGTCGGTCAGCTGTGCCCGGTTTGTCTCATTATTCCGCTCGGTGCGACGTGATATCACCGATCAGAAGACAGATGACCGTTCCGGACTGCTGAAATCCGAGTTCAAAGTTTTTCATGCTGTAAAGTCGAAAGTTTAAGGAACTCCAACTCCAAATTTGGTTTGGGGCGCACTTCACTAGTGATGCCATTACAATTTAATTGTGTAATGCATGTTCCAAGTTAAATTTCACTTTCAAGCTGTATGGCCGGAGAACTTCCGATCGGTTTCGTTGGGACGCAAGAGGGGTTCAATACTTTTAATCCCCCCCCCCCCCGATCTGAGTTTGCACCACATTTCCCCACGATAACAATCAAAAATTGATCTGGAAATTACCGGCAAAGAGCATTTGGATAATTTAGAGTTTGCAGGGGCGGGAGCAGGCCAGGGCATCCGCGCACAGAGTTGTTCTTTTAAACGCAGAGCTCGACTTGCTATCTCGACAGGCCGGGCCGGAGTCGGCAGGAGTGATACGACAACCGAGTGCAATGTGCATCGCGCACACGCACGCGCGCGTGCAACATCTCCGCACACATGTGCACACACACACGCTCACACACGCGCGCGCATACGCACGGGCGGCAGGGCCGTATAGTGCACGCAAAGCAAACACGCCTCGCCGCGGAGAAAACTCGAAAGCGACGCGAAAAAAATATAATATAATTTCCATGGGTGAATGTATCGCCATGCGATGTGTTGTGTGTGTCACGCCTTGGCGCGCTCCCGAGAAAGGTGAGGGAGAGAGAGAGGAGCCGACACGCGTGACAATGGCTATCGCCTTAGCGGGGCGTCGTCACGCCGCGTCACGCCGCGTCACGCCGAGTCACGGAGACGCGTCACGCTAGGCGCCAGCGGACGGGCCAAATTAAGAATGTGTGGGCGCAGCCGGGGAAGGAAGAAGAACAAGAAAAAAGGGGAGAAATGTCGGCGTAAACGGTTTCGCCCAGAATGTAACGTTATATGTCGCGCGGCTCGGATAACGGACTGACGCGTTACGCGCGCTGCTACACATGTTAGCCAGCTGTAGCTAGCTGTACACCGCCGTGGCTGGGTGGCTGAGATCTGGACCGTCGCGCCCCAGCGCTGAGCTCTGTGCCTAAGCCCCTCTCCCAACCCTGTGGCACACACCTCGAGGCGACAGTGTGGTCCGCTGCCGCCCTCGCGGAAGTCCCTCCTCCCTTTATTATCCATTGCGCTCCGATTCGCGAAGCACTTCAGCCGCGGTCCGGCCCGGCTTGGGCTCCCGTCCCTCTGGCCTTTGGACACTGCATGACCTCTTCCGGGCGATAAACCCTTCTTCTTGAGGGTCGGTGCCCCCCCCC